TTCCTGCAGACAGAGCCCAGCCCCAGCTGAGCACGGGCCCCTTTCAGGAGCTGTGAGAGTGATGGGGGCACCCCTGGGTCTCCTTTGCTCCAGGCTGAGCACCCCCAGCTCCCCCAGGGCTTCCTCACAGGGTTTGGGCTCCAGACACCTCTGGACACTCTCCTAAATTGGGGGGTGGCCTCACCAGTGATGAATCCAGGGGAACAATGACCCCTCTGCTCCTGCTGGCCCCACCATCCCTGATCCATCCCATCCCTGCCAGCCAGCATCTCCCATTGCCATGGCAACTGCATCCCTACCCTGGGCACTGATAACAGTGAGGAGATCAGGCACTGCTGGCCAGGAGGGCTGGGAAAGGCAGAATTCCATCCCTGTGCAGCTCAGGAGAACGGGGAAAACCACGGGAGGAGGAGGAGGAGGGAATGAAAAACAATCCAGAAAACAACAACCAGCAGCCTGGCTGGAGTGAATGCAGCGCTGTGTCCTGCTCCAGCCCAGCCTGGGGGAGCAGCAGACAGCCAGGGATGAAGGTGGGATTAGGTTTCCTTTGGATTTTGAGGAAATCTCTCAAGGATTTGAGGCGGCTTTTGCTCAGCCCTGAGTTAGCAGGCAGGAGGGAGCTGTCTGTGCTGGGTGTGGGATGAACAAAACTCAGGATTCTCCCCCAGGATCTGGAGCTGCTTTTCCATCAGTTCCCTGGGGAGGAGGAGCTCCAGCCCTTCAGGAATTTGGGATCCTTCCCAGGGATTGGGCACTGCTTTTCCCCAGTTCCCTGTGGAGAAGGTGCTTCAGCCCCTAGGGAATGGAATCCAAGGCTGGAGGAGAGGGATCCAGGGTGGAATCTGGGATGGGATCCAGATTTTGGTGGGTGTTGGGAACGCTGGGCTGGTGCTGCTGTGGCTGCTGCAGTGCCCAGGGTGGGTGTGAGGAGCCCCAGCAGCAGCCAGACAGGGATTATCCCAGGGATTGATGGAGAGGAGCAGGGAGATCTTGGGAATGGAGCTAACAGGCAGCCAGGGGGGATTGGGTGGGGAACTTTGGGGTCTCTCCTCATTGCTGGCATCCCTCCATCCCTTTTTTATCCATTCCTCCACCCATCCCTCCATGTGTCTGCAGGGCTCAGCCTCATGATCCTTGGGGGTCCCTTCCACTCAGGATATTCAGGATTCCACACACAACAGCACAGGGACCCCAAACATAACCCCACAGGCAGCATCCCCACAGTGGCAGGGACCCCTTCCCACCCTCAAAACCCCCCA